CCCCCCCCCCCCCTGCCCCGGCCGGTGTGTCACTGTGGCTTGTCCAGCGTGTCCTGCCGCCGCGGCGTGTCCTGGCGAGGCTCCGCGGCGGTGTCGCCATCCTCCTCGGCTCGGGGTGGACGGGAAGGACAGAGAGCCGTAGGCCACCGCCGCTGACGACGACGAGCCGACGGGTATACGCCGTGCTGCCGCCGCGCTTCTTGCTCAACGGGAGAACCTTCTGTGCGCCTCACATCGGCGGCCGTCATCGCTGAAAATATGTGCGGAGGCGAGGGATGATAGGGCAAGGGAAGGCGCCCGCGGCGGGGCCCGGGCGGGAGGACGCCGCCGACGCCGCGCAGCCGCGGCCGCGGGACCCCCGCTGGGCCTCGCGCGTTACCGCACGCCCTGGCCTGGCCCGGGCCGGGCCGACACAACGAGTGCCAAAGGGCAGAGCGCAAACCGCGGCACTTCTTCAATGGCTCAATCCATTACCCTGCCGACTCTGCGTCGCTCGCAAATGAAAGTGTGTGTGTGTGTGTGTTGCCTTCAACACTAGAAGATAAACCTGACTGTGATGAGTGGCGAATGAAAGAAGAAGTCTCTGGAGTCGGCACTCGAAAGCAAGCCCCAACACTGTGAAAAATATCGTCGTAAATTTACAATTTTTTTGTAAACTCGATTCATAATTTAAGTTGTAAATTTATGAGAGCACATTTTTCACTCGCTCATGCATTGTAAGTCGAAACGTACTGCACGTATTTACTATTACAAATTGCAATTTCCGGTAATTTTACAACTTGCATCAAAGAAAATTGTCCTGTAAACCTTCCTACCGTTTTTCACAGTGCTAGTATCCGAGTACCCGGGTGACCCGTGAATCCTCTGGGCCAGGAGCCTGGTTGACGGGTAGAAACGGGTTACCCGGATATCCGGCTGATAACCTGAGGAATCGGGTGGGACCAGGAACCTCCAGGAAGGAGGTAGGCTAGGCACTACGATTGTAAATGTACGACGTTTTTGCTTGGTCGTCAGGCTGCATGCTCGTGTCCACTCTATTTACGGAACACCCAGAAAAATGAATAGCTGTGGCAGCCATCATATGGTTCCTTCAGGGACAGCCTTTAAATATGTTTGGGGCAACAACAGCACAGGGTTAGTATACGCTCGAATCACGTAATAATTTTCATGTGTCCGAAGGGATTAGACGGGTTGCTTACAAGCCCAGGACTGCAGGGCAGGACGCCACCGCTTTTCGCATCCAGAAAAAAATTAACTCAACTTTCCCACGGATCGAGACACGAATAATTCACTTTTCCAGACCATGGCGCTGCGCTGAGCTGCGGGCGACTCTCGTGGGACCAATCTGGCCTCTGGGGGGCGAATGCCAGCGACGTTCCCTCGCGTCCCTCCGTCCCCCCCTGATATGATCCCTCCACGACGTCGTCGTTGTCCCTCTCCCTGTGATCCCGGTCCCCCCGGATCAGCCACGCGGGGATCACGCCACGCGATCAAGATGAATGAGAGTGGTCCGATCAGAGCGGGGCGGCGGCATCGGCATCGGCGTGCCACCGGGCGAGGACCGGATCAGGATCAGATGCGTGTGTGTTACGAAAGGCCCAAACATTCCTCCGAGCACCACCGGCTGGACCCGCCCCGCCCCGCCTCGTCCTCAGACCACCTCAGACTGCACTCCACGTCGCTTTCATCTCGTCCACCTCCTTGCATGTGACAAAAAAATAAAATTGGAATCGTGAAAAAAAAGTTTATGTGCCTTGCAACAACACTATATATGAAAACCACAGTCGTTGTGTGCTAGACCGCACGAAACGCACACGTGTCGTGCCGGTGTGCAAAAATGAAGGGGAGAGGGGGTAGTCGTAGTGCCGACTGCCGAGGCAGCTGGGCCACACCGCCACGCAGCGCCACGCCGCGCCCGGCTACGGACCGCAATTATGATTTTAGGCCACGCCTGTCTTTTCCGCCGGCGCGGAGCACCACCGGACACACCGGACATGCTGGACATACCCGCCGTCCCAAATGTGGACCAATGGTGCTGCTGCTGCCGCTGCCTCTGTTGCGTCCTCCGCTACGGCCCCAGCCTGAGCGTGGAAAGGGGAGGAGGGGTAAGAGTTCAATCGTGTCTATCCTCCTGAAGACCGCCGCCGCGCAGGTGCAAGCGCACCCAGCCAGGCAGAGAGGAGGCGCCGCCGCCGCTGCCGGACCGCCGGGGCCTTATGGGTGTAAACATCACGATCGTCATTCGACCCAAAGGGATGGTGGTGGATAGATAGTGGGAGAGACTAACGGGGAAACAAAACGAGGTGACGTAACGCGATGTAACGCGTGGCGCGGCGCGGAGCGTAGCGTCACACGAGGCGCTAGCGGCGGCGGCGCGAGCGTTACGGGCCGGCGCCACGGAGATAAATAGGAAAAACCTTGAAAACAGACGAGCCTCGTCGCTCTGAACCCCTCCTCCCCCTCCTCCTCCCCGACCCGCGGCCAAGTCTCTAAAAAGGGACTCAACGGGCCGAAGGACCACCGAAAGCAAAAAGCGGAAACAATAGGCGTGTTACATCATTTCACACACACCCTGCTCCTCCTCCTCCTCCTCCTCCGCGGACTCCCCCGCGCCGCCGATGAGTAGCGGCTTATCATCGGGCAGCGCGCCGGGCGAGGCGGTCAGTCAGGTGCAGGAGAAATAAAAAAAGCAAAACAAAAACACAAAACACACACAGACTTTTGTGTGTTGCGGCGAGACGACTTAACGATGTGCAGCAGAGAGGCGCTCCGCAGGCGCTCTGCCCTTTCTGCTTCTTATTTCATTATAGCTTGTTGCTGGAAGTTCATTATCACGCACGTCCCCCCGCCGCCCACTCACCGGACGCATCTCCCCTTTTTTTGAAAGATGAGAAAAAATGTAATGAGGCAAGCATGCCCTTTTTTGGGTCCTGAAAAAAACAAAGAATGAAACCTTTTTCATAGATAAATCCGTGATAAAAATTAAAGCAATCAACATTTTAAAAAAGTGAGTTTTATTTGTTGGCCACTTAAAATGAGTTACCGGTTTATATTAATCTATTGCTGCAACAAATGCAGCTTAAAACTGAGTATCTAATTGAGTATTAATCGCTAATACTGCAAACTAAACTATAATTTAAATATACAAATATGGCAACAGGTTGACTTACAGGAATAATTATATACATTACATCTTGTGGGCCTTATCATTTTCTTCATTTTTCAATTTAAAAAAGTTTGCTTCATACAGGATTACAGGTTAGGTCTAGAAATGCGCATGAGCACTTTCAGATCATCATCATCTTACTTTAGACATTAGGCCGTTGACTTACACTTTGAGGTTGTCTTTCCGGCAAAAAGAAAATTACTATCGCAGGCGTCTAATGGCACGCACTTACATGCTGACTAGTTGGAATAAATACACGCGAATCTATTCGGCGCTTGAATGACACTGGATGATTTCCTTACACAAGGTACATAAAACAATAATAAAAAAGAGGTCAAAAGGTAAGATTATTCATGGAATGATAGTGACACTTTGGTCCAGCCAAACCATTGTACTGTGTCAGGTTTGCGTTGCATTTTCGGTTGTGGGACCCGGAGCCGGGCCGAGCAGCGTGTCGTGAGCGTCTATGTGCTACTTCGCCGCGCCCGGTCGCCTCACACGGTCCGCAGGCAACGGGGCCCATACACGTGTCACGGCACGGACTTGTCCTGCGACTCGCGTGCCCCGACCCGCGACACGCCCCGGAACACGCGCAGAGCGCTTGCGCCTCCACGGACTGCTCACCCTTTCGTCCTCGTCACCGGGACAGTCCCAGGCGTGGGCGTGGGTAGGGCTGTGCGATATCTCGATATTTCGATATCGATACGATATCATGTTGATATCGAGGGCTTCGATATGCTTCCGATATCGACATATCGATATCGAGGCTCGATAATATCGATGGTATCGAGGCGTATCGTGGGTATGTCGGCGTATCGAAGGCACGATATACCTCGATACGTGCTGTATCGTGGGTATTTCAAAGCATCGAAGGCACGATATACCCCGATATCGTGCTTCGATACCATCGATACGCCTCGATACGTCGATAATAACGAGCCTCGATGTATCGAGGCGATGCTCGATACCTGCCTGATATCGTATCGCGATATCAAAATCTGTGTATCGCACAGCCCTAGGCGTGGGCGGCGCCGCCGCCGCTGCCTCTCAGTCTCTAACCAGAGGTCTCTACAGTCTTGAAGTGAACTAAAGCAGGTCGCTAGCCGATGGCTGCGCCTCGGCCGCGGCGCCCTCACATGGCCGTCGACGCCGACGCGCTCTTGCTGCCGGTCTTGCGGTCGTCGATGGACGGCTGCTCCGCGTCGCTGGGCCGCCGGCCGGCGGGGTCGTCCCACCACTGCACCTCGCCCGAGCCGAACACGATGAAGGCGACGTTGGTGATGGCCATGATGGCGAAGTTGATGCCGAACACGAGCTGCCACTCCGACATGAGGCCCTGAGGAGCAAAGAGGTTGGTGTTGGTACACTCACACAGAACTTTTCCGCATAAGAAAGAAAAAATGTTATTTGAAAAACCGGACATAAAATGTCTTGCTTCGGCCAAGAAAAATTTGGCAACATGCTTTTAAATAAAAGCTTATTTTGATGACTCAATTGTTTCTCGAAAGCAAATTAATAAATCTAGCACGTTTTTAAAAAGTAATTTTCTTGCCCACGTAATTTATTTTCGTCTGACATTTGTGCACGCACACACACACATACGATGCACAGCACCCGGGTACTCACGTGCGGAGCCAGCAGCCCGATGACGTAGGGCGCGGCCACGCCGGCCAGAGCGCCCGTGCCGTTCATGAGCGCGCCGATGGTGCCCGCGTGCCGGGGGCTCAGGTCGAGCGCGTTGACGCGCATGCCCGGGTAGAAGGCGCCCATCGTGGACATGCCGATGCAGAAGAGCGCCACGACCAGGGTGCGGTCGCAGCCGGCGAACGACGCCGCCAGCAGGAAGGCCCCCGGCCCCACCGAGCCTGCGCAGGGAGCGAGGGGTGGATAACTCCCCTGCCAAGTGTACACCCCTAATTCTGCCCAATTCAAACTAATTCAGACCAATTCAATTTAATTCAAACTAATTCAAAACTAATTCAACTAATTCAGTCCAATTCAAGACTATGTTCAGTCAATTCAAGTCAAT